TCTTTCTTTCTTTCTTTCTTTCTTTCTTTCTTTCTTTCTTTCTTTCTGATTGTTGGAACAGCTGATCATCGGGAGGAAAAAAAATACCGTAAGGAGTGACTGGGCGGGAGGGGGCCAACGCAGTTCAGCGATGCTCATGATGTCGTGATAAGGACTGATTGGGGAGGGAGGGGCGGGCGGAGAGGGGCGGGGCCAGCCAGGGGCATGATTTGCCAATTCTCCTAACCCGGCAGAATCGTAACAACCGGTTCTGTAGAACCGGTCCAAATTGGTGATTTTGTGATGCCCAGCCTTCATTTCTGGGGCCTCACCCCCTTTTTCTTGCCTGCCTTGTTCCGAAGGGCTCCTCAAGAACTTTGTCTTAAAACTCTACGGCAACGAGGAAGACATGGCAGCCCGACAGGCAGCTCCCTTCGTGGTGGCCAAATGTGTGCTGCACAATCGTGACGGGACCTGCCAGGGTGAGTGGCGGGGTGTGTGGTGGATGCAAAGGCCTTAATCAAGGAACGACCCACCCACATTGACAGGGCAAGCCCCTTTGCATATAGAAACAGAGAACCAACCCCCACTGCCTTCGAGCACTGATAAAGTTACCTAGCTGGGTTATGAAACGTCTGCAAGAAAACGCCCCAGCTCAGGACCTCTCAGTTCCGCCCTGAATTACAGGTGTGCTATTGGCATTTATCTTGGGCACATCATTCAGGTGGCCCACTAATAATGTTCGACGACTGCTGAACCTGTGGGGACTCCATGCTACCAGATACCAGAGACTGGTTTTATGTTTTTAGCTTTTGATTTGTACGCTGCCCAGAGTCGTTTCATGAAGGAGGTGGGTGGTTTCTAAATGAGACAGAGAGGGAGGGAGGGAGGGAGGGAAGGAAAAAAGAGGGATATAGATGGATGGATGGATGATAGGTTGATTGATTGATTGATAGATGATAGATAGATGATACATAAATAGATGATAGATTGATAGATGATAGATGATAGATGAGATAAATAGATGATAGATTGAATGATAGATAGATGATACATAAATAGATGATAGATTGATAGATGATAGATGATACATAAATAGATGATAGATAGATGATAGATAGATAGATGAGATAAATAGATGATAGATTGAATGATAGATAGATGTACATAGATGATTGATAGATGATAGATAGATAGATGAGATGAATAGATGATAGATAGATTGACTGATAGATGATAGATAGATAGATAGATAGATAGATGATTGATAGAATAGAATAACAGAGTTGGAAGGGACCTTGGAGGTCTTCTAGTCCAACCCCCTGCCTAGGCAGGAAACCCTACACCACTTCAGACAAATGGTTATCCAACATCATCTTAAAAATTTCCATTGTTGGAGCATCCACAACTTCTGGTGGCAAGCAGTTCCATTGGTTAATTGTCCTCTTCGCTGTCAGGAAATTTCTCCTTCGTTCTAAGTTGCTTCTCTCCTTGATGAGTTTCCATCCATTGCTTCTTGTCCTGCCCTCAGGGGCTCTGGATAGGTAGATGATAGATAGTTGATAGATGAATGACAGATAGGGAGGGAGGGAGGGAGAGGGAGAGAGAGAGAGAGAATCAATTTTATTTATTGGTTGATCAGATTGAGATGTTCTTGCCTTACCTTTCTGTGGTTGGCTGGCCTGCCTCACCCTCCTCCTCCTCCTTTTTTTCCTCCCCCAGAATGCCCCAGCCCACTCTTCGCAGTCCGGCACCTCTGCCTCTCCTACTGTCCGCCCAGGTACTACCGCCTGTCCCGCCAGGCTCTCCACCCCAACGGGACCCGGCGCACCATCCGAGCCTGCGACCCCTGCGACCCCTCGTGCTACACTTGCCTGGCGGGATCGGCCCACAACTGCAGCGCCTGCCCGTCCCACAGCACCTACGAGGGGCGCACCCACACCTGTCCGCGCTCCCCCTCCTTTGCCTACCTGCCCCGCGGAGGGCTGTTCGCCCTGGGGGACACCCGCCTTCTCCTCCTGGTGGTGGCCGTACTGCTGGGCCTAGGACCCGCGGCCTTCTGCACCTTCTATGCTTTGTGCCGCACGCGGCGGAGGAAACTGGTGCCATCCGAGGCGGAGGCGGAGGCCGTCAGCCTGGAACTGCTTTACCTCCACCGTCCCGGGGCCAAGGAGAACTTGAACAGGGTGTCCTAGAAACCGAAGACGGGGCAGGCGCCGCCCCGCGTTCCTGAACGACTTGAAACCTTCTCCCTTCCTGTTATTTATTTCTCCAAATGGGATCCCGGATCTTCCACAATAAATGCTCGGCCTTGAGAGTTGGTCCCTGGTCCTCTGGGGGAGTTTCCAGTGCGATCTCCTCCTTCGGTCGTCCCAAAGGCGTGCGGTGTTTTTTTTCTTTTTTCTTTTGTTTCCCAAGTGGCAACTAAAATTTCTGGGGTTTTTCTTTGGAAGAGGTTTTGCTTCTCCTGAGAGAAGCTTCTTCAGTTCAGAATAGGATAGGAATAGAATAGAATAGAATAGAATAGAATAGAATAGAATAGAATAGAATAGAATAGAATTTAGAATAGAATTTAGAATAGAGTAGAATAGAATAGATATTGGAATGTAGAATAGAATAGAATTAGAATTAAATAGAATAGAATTAGAATAGAATTAGAATAGAATACAATACAATACAATACAATACAATACAATACGGAATAGAATAGAAAATAGAATAGAATAGAATAGAATGGATATTGGAATGTAGAATACAATACAATACAATACGGAATAGAATAGAATACAATACAAAACAATACGGAATAGAATAGAAAATAGAATAGAATAGAATAGAATGGATATTGGAATGTAGAATACAATACAATACAATACAATACAATACGGAATAGAATAGAATAGAATAGAATAGAATAGATATTGGAATGTAGAATAGAATAGAATAGAATAGAATGGATATTGGAATGTAGAATAGAATAGGAATAGAATAGAATAGGAATAGAATAGGAATAGAATAGCTTTATTGTCATTGCATTCCATGAATACAATGAAATTTGAAAGCTACTCCAGCACAGCACCCCAAACACCACATCACAATCACACTACAGAGTATTTCATCATCCTCATCCTCATCATCTAGTCTAAAACCTATCTAAAACATTTAGTAAGTTAAATAGTTTAAAAATGCCACCATATACACAAGACTGAATCACAAGTGCACTGTTTGACTCAAGACAATTACTGCCTTGGAAAGGAAACTATTTCTCAATCTATTAGTCCTCATTTTAAGACACCTATAACGAACGTCTCCTTGATGGTAACAGTTCAAAATATGAATGACCAGGATGAGAACAGTCTGTGGAGGTTTTTAGTGCTCTAGAGAGGAGTCTGGTCTTCGCAATCTCTTCCTTCCAAAGAAGAAAGAGAGCAACCGATGATTTTTTGTGTGTGCTGTGTTTATAACTCTCTGGAGCATCTTCTTATCCACTACAGAGCATCCAGCATATCACCCTGTTACACAGTATGCACACCTTCACTTGTGCGATTCAGCCTTACTCAGAAGTGAAGAAGCTTCTCGGAGAAGAAGCAAAACCTCTTCAAAAGAAAAAACCCCAGAAAGTCCAAAGCTCCTTTTTGCTTTTCAAGAGATACCTGGATTTTCTTGTTTTGTTTTTTGTTTTTTCTTTTGAAGACGTTTCGCTCCTCCTCCGAGAAGCTTCTTCAGCTCTGACTGGGTGGTGGGGAATGGAAGGATTGATACTCCTTGCAGACAGCTGGTCGTTTGCATCCTTTTTAGAGTTCGTTGAGGCCACTTGGAGGTTCCTCTGTGTCCTCAGGGTCACCTGAGTGGCGCTCCTGGTTCTCGTAGCCTGTCATTTTTCCCTCTGGGAAACCCCTGCCCGGTTGCCTCCTGAAAAAACGCATTTGGAGCAACTGTGACCCGGATGATGGAGAACCTCTCCTTAGGCCCTTGTGCCTCTCACTGGTTCTGATGGGGCCACTGCATTTGGGGCCAGAAGAAGTCACAGGATGTGAAAGATGGAATTAATCCGCTCAGGGCCAGGATATACTTGGCAGAGTTTGAAGACTTGTGTTGAGGACCTTCATCTCATCTCTGTAAGGATCATCTCACCTGTTTGGCAACACCAGAGAGGATCTCCGCTTGAAGTAGGTGAGGAAGGTTGCTCCCAGTTTGAGGGAGTGCGTAAGGTTACGGTTCTTCAAAGTTGTATTATTACAATTCATTGACCGGTTCTGCACCAGGCGGATCAGTTTTGAAGCAGACAGACAGTCGCAAGATGCTAAATTGATTCCGGGGCTCCTCAGAGGCAGGTGTTGGGAATACAGAATAAGAAGAGTTGGAAAGGACCTTGTAGGTCATCTAGCCCAGGGTTTGCCAACCTTTTGGACCTCGGGGACCACCAAACTCATCATTTTAAATCCCGCGGACCAGAGACCCTGGGAAAATCCCTCCCCCCCCCAAAAAAAAGTCTGCAGGAAAATCCCCCCACCCCGTTTTCCTACCGATCGATCGTTCTTCATTTGGGATCGCAGGATATCGTCTCCAGTTCCGTTCTCAGGGGGAGAGACTTTTGGCTTCATGCAAGGAAAACAGCAGAAGCTGCAGAAGTCTTTTTTTTTTTTTTCTCTCCCCCAAACTCCACCAGAAATGAGTCTTTGCCGGCGCAGCCTCTCGGAGCAGGAGGCCTTGCAGGGTCCCCAAGACTCATTTCTGGCGGAGTTTGGGGGAGAGAAAGAAAGACTTTGGCTGCTTTCCTTGCGTGCAGTCAGAAGCAGAAGAAGGAAGAAGCGGTAAGAAGCAGCCCGGTGGCCAGGCCAGGCGCATGGGGCGAGGTGGGGCAAGTTCCCCCCCCTTCCCCCTTCCCCTCACTACCTCGTGTTGTTCACAATGCAAGCGATGCAAGCCTTGTGTTCCCGTGGGCCACGTGGGTGATGCAGCCTTGTGTTCCCGCGCAGCCTGGATTGTTTTGTGGGGGGGGGGGCGGACATTTCTCTGCAGATCACCAATTTTCTTGCGGACCACCAGTGGTTCCCGGCCCACTGGTTGGCGACCCCAGTTCTCGTCTGATGCCCTGCTCAAGCAAAGTCCCTATGCCATTTCAGATCATTAACTGTCCGTTTTTTTTTTTTTGTTTAAAACCTCCAGCGATGAAGCCCCTACAATTTCTGGAGGCAGGTAGTTCCACTAATTAACGGTTAGGAAATTTATTCTTAATTCCACGTCGCTTCTCCTGGATTAGTTTCCCTCTGTTGCTTCTTGTCCTGCCTTCTGGTGTTTGGAAAATAATTTGACACCCCCCCTCCTCTTTGGGGTCACCCTTCAGACTGCTATCATGCCCCCCCCCCAGTCCTTCTTTTCTCTATATTAGCCAAACTCAAATGCTGCAAACATTCTTTATATATTTTAATCTCCAGGCCTTTAATCATCTTAGTTGCTCTTCTCTGCCCTTTTGTATTCCGAGTCTCAACATCTCTTTTGTAGTGTGGTGACCAAAATTGGTTGCGGTATTCCAGCTGTGGCCTTGCTAAGCTAATACTGATTATCAGACAGCGTTGCCTTTGTGTCATGCCCCTTTGTGGGTCATCACACCTGTTTATACAACAACCAAGGATTGCATCTGCTTTTTGGGCTGCCGTCACACACGGTGGGCTCATGTTTAAATCACCGTCCACTAAAACTTCAAGGTCCCTCTCACACTTAACTGTTTTTCAGCCAACTGTTTCGCCTCATCTGTTTATTATAAATTACAATCCTTGTCAAGTTTTGCATGAGCCCAGGATATTGGCTTTACTAAGGCTTTATAAAGCGGAACTAAGTCCCCACATGATCTGGATTCCATGCCTCTTGTCATACCCGTCAGAGTCTGAATCCGAGGAGGAAGCCGAACAACCGACAGGGAGTGGAAGCGTGGCTCCGTTGGCTTGTGGAGGAAATTGGGGAAGGGCAAAATCCAGCAGGGGAGAGATAGAACAAGGGAGAGGGAGTTCAGAGGAAGACCCAGGCCCACCCCATCTTCATTCTAGGGCACGCAGGGAGGAACGGAGAAGGGAGCAACGTGGGTTGCATGGCTTACAGGGGAGGAAAGGGCCCTGATTCCCTTCATTAGCCGCAGCTTGGAACACAGTTCATAAGAAAGGCAGGCTGCTGGGAGCAAACGTGACTCTTATCTTGTTTTGTTGCGGCTTATCTGTGTGCCAGGCGTCTTCCCAACCAAGTTTCGCCGTGCGTTCAAATCTGAAATTCTTGCTCCTGCCCTGCCAAACGAATTACTTCAGTTTGGCTTGTTTGGACTTTAAGTTCCAGTTTGTGTTGACCCTGTTTTGGACTGAATTTTCTGCAGCCAAAGGCTGTTCCTGGGAGAGTTTTTTTTTTTCTCCAGCCAGAAGATAACCAGCACTTTGGGGGCAAAGTTGGAGCTAATAAAGGGTTGATTATTGATTATCTGTGTTGCCTTTGTGCCACACCCCTTTGGGTCATCCGGTATCTTTGGAGCACATAACGCAACTGCCAGATTGATTCCTGAATTCCTCAAAGGCAGGTGTTAGGGCAGGGGTCGGATTCAGCTAGTTTAGACCGGTTCGTGTGAAGGTTATCACACCAGTTGAATCCCACCACTGTGTTGCAGAATTGTAAATTGTCATAGCAACCCCTCCATTTACAAACATTTATTTAGCCACCATTTGAAGTTACAAAGGCACTGGAAAAAGGGATGTGAGGTGTTTTTTTTCTTAACCTTTACGACCGCTGCTGGCTCGTCTTTACGATGGTGGCAATGTCCCGGGAGGTCCCATGATTCTGACCCAACCCTGTTACCAGCAAGAAAATCTCAAACCAAACGCAGCATCTCAAACCTTCACCGCTTTGATCTACAAATAAACTTCTTTGTAGATAAAAGGTGGCTTGCAGCCAATTAGTCCAACCAGAAAAGCCTCGACAGAATTCTTCAGATAAGCCAGAGTCTCCACATACAATGCTGGGTCCTTAGAGCGTTTTTGCCCTCTGCAAAGGCAAAAACCTGTTGAAACCAGGCTTATATTCCCTGGAGGGAGGGAACATTACGTTGCATCCTTACTCCCGAGTTGCCTGCGCTGCTCCAGCTGTTCTCTTCTACGAATCATCCTGCGCTCATGTGCACTTGGCACAGGCTCCTCGGGAACCTCCTCATCGCTGCTGCCAGCCCCCTCAATCCCTGAAGGGCAGCAGTCCACTCCCTGACGGTCCCGGCCCCTCATCCGAGTCCTCGCTCTCCTCCACCGTCCGCACCTGCTGCCGGCTAACCACAACAGATTCCCTCTTTCGCATACTTCCGATAAGCCAGATTCACTTAACAACTATGTCACTAACTTAAAACAATGGCAGGGATTCGCTTAACAAAAACGGGTCGCAAGGAAGGCCATCCAATGGGACCCAGATCACTGAATATTTCACCTAGTTCTGTACATTTTGGGG